CACACACACACACACACACACACACACACACACAAGGGAATATGCAGTTGTCACTACAAGCTCTGTAAATAAGACAGCAACTCCCCATAAGGGTGCACCTGCAAAATCCACGACTTTAATAATGCTCACGTGTCTTCTAAATGAAAAAAAAAAACATTGTTATAAAATTGTAATTATAACAAATTACAGGTTTATTCTGAGTTAAACATTAAAAATATTTAAATGTGTTCATTTTTTCCACACATCAATTGATTTGGACCAGTTTGATGTCTGCTCGTCAGCGGGTGTTCTCATGGCCTGCAGCGTCCCCTGCTGGAGGTAAAAATACACAGGTTGCTTCTAAACAGGAATAATATTAAAGGAATAGTTCAGGTGGTCTGAAACAAGATTCCATGGAAAGGTTATGAACGATTAATTATTATTTAACCCTGCAAGTAGCTTTTTTTTTTGCATTTGGTGGTTGCTGCTACCTTGAAACACCTTCAGTATTATAAATTCCATAACAATAAGCCAAAACTATTAATTAAACATTTTCACTGGATATTTCAGCAGAATTGTAAGGTTATTTCTGATAGATATGTGCCCCAGCCTGCAGCAAGCTGCTGTTTCTGCTGTGAGTTCTTATATGTACACTGTTGATTATATGATAACTGCTGTGCAAAATTGATGTAAGCACARAATTATAGTAGGGATTTGAAGATATTTGGRAACTTCTAATGAATTTGCTTGGGCATCAAGGAGCACTATGAGTCACCTGCTGCAGTTTTTTTTTCTCTATATTCGGCAGAGGTGTCTAATCCTGGTCTGCTATCCTGAATGTTTGTTTCTTTGCTCCAACAAAACTGATTCAGTGATTAAATCACCTGTTCAAGTTCAACAGAAGCCTGGTAATTAATTACCCATTTGTTCAAATCAGGTGTGTTGCAGCAGATAAAACTATAACACAAGCAGGACTGTATATTGTGAGACATTAAAAAAGTTAAACAGCCCCATTAACTTACAAYTTAGAACCTATATGTGCAGCTCATCAGCTTGTTCAAACGTATGATGTAGGCTAATGAAGCGTAGACTGTGCATAATCATGCAACAAAACAGCATATTTTTATTAGATTTGTTCTAATTATTTAGTCATTTGAGCTCYTTTAATTGCTGATTTTGCCATAATATCTTATGGTTCTTCTAAATTACAATATTTCTCAATTAGACATAGTTAGAACCACAAATATAAACACTGCTTATGTTTGTGTAAAAATATTACAAGAATTCACTACATTTAATTGCATCTTTGGGAAACAGTATGTATGAACAAATAACTGAAACAGTTAAAGGTCCTTGAAGGAAATTTGAACAGAACTGGACCAATGGATAAATCCTACACGGTATCATCTTTAACCAGAAGGTGGCAGCACTTCAACAAATTAATTTCAAGTTGCACTTAAACCGCCGAAGAAGTTTTTTCCGCATACTCTCGCGATGTTTGCTCATGTGACGTCATTCCATGATGGCTGCAGACCCCGGCGGAACATTTTTTAATTTCTCACCCATTTTTCTATCTTTCTCTTTACCTCAGCTTGCCATAGAGTCATGGCAGGACTCGCAGCCCCGTTAGGAGTTCACATATCACTGGTTTCGACATGCCCAAGAAAGGGAACAGAAAACGGCTGAAGTTTAAGGCCGGTGACGTTTGTTCTGAATCAGGTAGTAGTAGCTTCGCTAACAGGCTAGCTTGGTATGCTAGCACTAACTCTGAACAGCACTTTTAACAGTTTATTTAAATGTTTGCGCTCTCATAATTAAATATAGATCAAGAAAGTTCGAAATCAATTGTCAAACCAAGCATTTATTTGATTTCTCATTTATTTTCCCTTTTTTTTAAGTCACTGTTGCTGATTATGCTGATGCCGACCCAGCCATTGTGAAGTCGGGCAGGGTGAAAAAAGCTGTAGCAAATGCGATTGAAAAAGAAGGTAAACCTTAGTTATACAGTAACTGTGTCCTGTGTGAGAGCAAGTTTCTGTTGCCTATTAAACAAAACATATATATTTTTAGTTAAATTACTTTGCGGCCTGGAAGCCTCTCAGGGTGCTGTAGAAGAAGTCCTATCGTCTGTGGCAGGGGTCAGAGCAGACACTCTGGGCAGCAGTGATGACCTAGACCCYGAGGAAGAAGACGAAGGAGAAAATGAAACTAAAGGGGCCCGCAAAAAGAAAAACAAGAGACGAAAGGGTACCTTTTCAACAATATTTGATTTATACGAATTGTTTGTTGTATGCCAACACCAATCATTCAATATTTTTTAAGTTTATTGTATGTTTGGCTTGTCTTTTTTAGAAAGCAGTGAGTGCAGTGATGGGGAAGATTACCCAGTGGACATTTGGCTTGTGCTTTCCTCATACATTCGGCCAGAGGATGTGTGTCGATTTTCTTTGATCTGCAGGAATGCTTGGACTGTCACTTGCACTGCAGCATTTTGGACCAGACTCTACAGAAGGTAATTTAGTTTTGTTGTTGTTGTTTTGGGTGCAGTGAATAGCTTCATTGACATAATAGCCATATTTTGTTAATTGATTTTGGCCTAATAAAAGGAGATTCTAATAATTACTGTGGAACATAAAATATGTCATTCATATTCCAGTGTACATAATACAGGGTGTCATTCAAGAAGTAAAATGACAATTGAAGTGGCTGGAATGAGGATCAGCACCTCCAAATCTAAGGCCATGGTCCTTAGTTGGTAAAGGATGGATAGCCCTCTCCGTATTGGGAGAGAGTTTCTGTCTGAAGTGGAGGAGATCAAGTATCTCAGGGTTTTGTTCTTGAGTGAGGAAAGGATGGAGTATGAGGTTGACAGACGAATCTGTGYACCTTCTGCAGTATTGCAGAGTTTGGTTGGATTTATTTGCTCTTTTCATTCCTTTTGTTTTGTTAAACTTAGGAAACGTAGTAGTAGTATTTTACTTTGCYCAGTGTCTGAAACTACCTATCTACAGTATATACACACATACAGCATTGTCCATTTTTAAGACCCGTCTGAAGACACACTTTTACTCAATGACCTTCAACCCAATTGAGACTTGATTTTATTTAATTTAAGTGATTCTAKCTGTTTTTATCTTCTTTTTATTTTTTATTTTTTGCTGATGTTCAGCACTTAGTTCAGCTATGGCTGGTGTTGAGGTGCTTTATAAATAAATGTCCTGATGCATCTCAGTAATCCAGGTAAAAAATCAAAAAGAAAAAAAATTGTATAGGTCTTCTGGACGGGTTCTTCTCTAATGAAACGTTTCGTCTCTCTTCCAAGAGACTTCTTCAGTCTGAGAGTTTCAGGCAAAGTGTTTGCCTGAAACTCTCAGACTGAAGAAGTCTCTTGGAGGAGAGACAAAACGTTTCATTAGAGAAGAACCCGTCCAGAAGACCTATACAATTTTTTTTCTTTTTTATAAATAAAGTTGATGATGATGACAACAATTTATCGAGACAATGTATTTCATCTCTAAAATTGTAATAAAAAATAATRGAATAATGTCTTTTTTTCACCCTGCCATCTGCTTTCTTTGTTTTGTGTTAAGGCACTACCGGACTGATGTGGAACTACCGTTTCGTCTCCAGCCTGACTGTATAGATAGGATGTACTGCCTTCGGGCCTGTGTGATTCGTTCCCTCTTCCATCTGTATGAGCCATTCAGTGTACGTGTGTCAAAAATTCCTGCACTGCCAGAATCTACACCGACCACTTTGCTTAACTCTAAGGTACTTTAATACAGAGGTTCCCCAACTTTTTAAGCTTTTGACCTACAAAGTCGCAGAGCCTTGTGACCCCAAAGTTTTCATAAAAGAAGATACTTAAGTAAATATGAATATAGGTTTTATGCAAATGTTTTATTATTATTATTTTTTATTTAAAAAAAAGTTTACATTTTTGTTATTTCTTGTTGCAGTGTTTACTCTTCTGGATCAAAAAGCTGTCAGGGACTCGCCCAGAAAACTTGTGGGAGTTCAACTTTAAATTTATAAAGCAGGTAACTTCCTTTTTAAAATGTAAATCAGCTGAGTTTTATATCATCTTAGCTGCTGTGTTGTTCACATGTTGATTGGGTTTTCACTTCATTGAAGCAGGGACATAATAAAAATGGTTGTGCCAAGTCCTTACGTTCACCCAAACAGTATGAAGATGTTCACATAAACCCAGACTCTGACTGCTACGTGCTTCAAGTCACCACACTCAACTACATCTTCACCCCTGTAGTCATGGGCATGACTCTGGCTCTGGCAAGCAGTTTCTTTTTTATCAATCTAAACATCCTTTAAATGAGTAGATCTTATAGTAYAGCTGAGCTAAGTGAAGTGCTATTCCCACTTACTGTTAAAGTAAATAAAACTGATATTTCTGTTTTTATTGATTAGTTTACATTTGTTTTTTCAGGAATCATTCCTTTAAAAAAAAAATAGATATATTTTCTTATCTCATTATCAAAGAATAGKTGTGTAACCTTCCTCTAATCCACCCTTTTTTCTCTGTCTATTATAGTTCACWATCAATGTGAGCACAGACATGCGTCACCACCGTGTCCGTCTCGTGTTTCAGGACTCGCCACTTCAGCAGAGGAAAAGGAGAGGAGGCGATCAAGGCGGGACACAGGTTGTTCTGGATCCTGTTCACAGTGTGAAGCTAATGGACTGGTGGCATCCCCAGTACCCCTCTTTACCCTAAACATAAGAATGTCTGTGATTTTTTTTTTTTTAATGGCAAAGGAAGCCCCAGGCTCATGAAAGCTTATGACACAAGAAAAAATATTGAACACATTCAGAAACCCTTTGTTTGCACATTTACATTTTATTTGTAATTTGTTCAAAAAGGCAAGCACTGACTAAATACAAAGTTTATGTGGATATTCCAGATACAAACAAACAAACAAAAGAAGCAACATATCTAAAATTTAACAGCCCTACTGGCTGATTTTACTTATATAATGCTGAGTTCACACCGAATGTATTTTCAGCATCAAAAGACTTTACATGTAAACCTGATGCTCAAAACGCATTCTGTCTGAACCTGCATAAATCAYTGGTTTAAAGACCAAGCTTAAAGTGCCTGTGACATCAGTTTTTTATAATAAATATTCATGTATTTTTTTGGAAAGATAACATTGATAACATTGTAAAAACATTTCACGCCGCTGAGATGAACAGTTGTTGAGAWATTTGCATGTGAAGAAACAGGAAGTGATGTCAAAGGGGATTGTTTCAATGTAAACTGTTGCTAAAATGGCTAAATATGCTGTACAGCTTCACCCTCTTTTTTCACATGAAGACGAGCACAATAAGCACCCTCTGAAGTGAGTCACGGCATTGGCCTATATTTTTGTCCAAGTCAGAACAGAGCCCCGCCACAATTATATAAATATATTTTCTTTGACTTTTTCTATTTCATGGATATGCATGTCACAGGCACTTCAAGAAAGAATGGATTACCAGACTACATTTTCTTTTCCTTCAAATATGTTTTATAAATTTGTAGTTGGATTAATTTAAATTGTTAAAAGCTGTTTCTGTTTTATTCTTTTAATCAGTTCTTGATCCACATTTAATTTGAGCCACTTAAACTGATGTGAGTTGTGACTTTTTCTCTGTACTAAAGGGGATAAGTAGATGATTTACTTAAATGCATTTTCCACATTATTGGACAGGTTTTCTAGTGTTTGTTAATTATTTGATTGTGTACTTAGAAATGGCTTGAACTTATACTTTACTGCCACAGGGATGCTGTCAATATCGGTATTTAATATAAGAATGTTTCCGGTGAAATGCTTGATGAGGAGGACAGGGCTAACATGTACATTGGCTTATTTGTCTGTTTGATTGTTTAAATGTTTTTGATTTGCACGATAATCCTCGAGGAGGAAATCATTGGAACAGCTACATACACTTGCAGTAATGCAATTTAATTACCAAAAAGCAGTGGACAGGTAGATGTTTCAATAACTCGTAGAATCTCGAAGAAAAAAAGCTGTCTTAGTCACAATTTCATTGATGATACACCCACTGCAATAAACTCAAATTCAAAAATCCACTGTTTTTTTGATTTCTGCATATTTTAGGTGTAATCAAGAGTTCAAAATGTGCACACAGTCTGGACCATGTTCTCCAAGGCATTCTGTGTGGGTTACTTTTAAAGGCTCACCAGAGCAGGAGCTGTGTCTACATTCCTGGCACAAGAGTTGGCTCTTGGTGCAGTCTGGACTTCACTTGGCTGTCCCATGTCTCCATTCCTGTTTGTGGTGTGCACAGACCGTATTTCAAGGCACAGTCTCAGAGAGAGGTGTGTTTGTGAACCACAGGGTCGTTTCTCTCCTTTTAACAGGTGATGTGGTTCTGTTGGTGTATTCAGGCTATGACCTATATGCTAAGAGGGTTTGCAGACGATGTCYGAAGCCATAGTTGTTTCTGGGTTGAAAATGTGGACTGCCTACCCCTGCCTTGCTGGTAGGGTTATATATCTTCTCTTGAGGAAATGGGAAGTGTTTCTGTAGAGAGGGATGTCTGGATTTCTCTCATGGACCCATTACCTCCACCACCTGACTATGGATAGGCAGCATAAGATGGATAAAACACTGGAAATAAATATATTTAAAAATCTAGAGTGGATTTCATATTTGACAAAAACAAGAACTCATATTGCAGGTCAAACAATATTTTTTTAAAGTTATTTCAAACAGGTTGACAATGGGGCATAACGCACAAAAAAGACCACAGAAATGAGCACATAAGTAGAGGTTAAAGTTAATGAGAAGAGAAGAAATGATATATAATAATACTATAAAACCGTTATTTTTATTTTATGCTATAATTACTACTTTGGATAAATGTGTGTTTGCAGAATCAGCAGGGTAATGAGTTAAATTCGACACTTCGTTGAAAACGAGATAAACTACACTACCCACAATCCATTTCGCGACTCGCCATTGGTGGCACAGGTGACCGCAGACGCGCTGAGTTGTGACATCTCGACGGTCAAAAACGAAAACAAATTTAGTCTACGACGTGCGTGAAGTTTAAAGCGCCGCGTGTCTGTCTGTGGACATGTAGTGAGACTTCTAATCTCTTTGTTTTATTTTTGTGCGCGCGTGTTTCCGCGACATTTGGTGATTGTTTTCCTGTTCAGCGGTAGTTTGAAGCGGGTCCGGTATCTGAGCTCAGAGACGCGGGTACGCACTTCACCTCAGCCCGACTCAATTCGGTCTGACCTTCAGAGCGGGGTAAGTTATATTTCACCACCAACACCACTGAAGTAAACTAAAGCTCGAGCTCAAGCATCTCCGGAAAAGCGCGAGAGAGCGCTTTCGTTGTTTTAATGCACGATTTTCTTATTTATTAACCTAATAAATTATGTTAAAAGTTCTCAGTTCAGTGTTTATAATCTAAATTCTATCTTTTTTGTAGTATTTGTATAAAATGAAAACAAATACAAATTTACCATGTCAAACATGCATACTGAACAACTTAAGAATTAATAGCAATATCCAAGCATCACAAAACATACAACACCGTGAAGGACATTGAGTCGCTTCAATGAATTTTGTCTAATAATCATTTGATGATGAGTGTGAAAAGAGTGTTTGGACAGAAAGTACTGATATTTATAGGCTCACACAAACCCAGATCATTATAGGATTTAAATGTTTCACAGTTAATGTAGAAATTTAAAATTTAGTAAAAAAAAAAAAAAAGCTTGCCTTGAAGGAATCCATATCCCCCACAGTATGAAATGTGAAAGTTTTAAAGATCTTGTGTGTTCTGGTAAGGCTTGGAGTATGAGTTAGAGATGATTCTCAGATCTTTAATATCTTTAAAACTGATGGGAGTTTTAGGTTTTAAATCAGRTTTATTCTTGAAAAAAAGTTGTAGATGTACATACGGTTTTAGAGTTTCATTAAAACACATCCACTGGTTTATGAGATATTTTGCTTACAGGCAGACAGACATGAAGTTACGTGCTTGCCCACTTTTCTTGTGGCGTACAGTCAGCTCTTCTGTTTGCTACAAACCATGTGAATGGTGGCTAAATCATAACTCACAAAGTTTGCCTTCATCTGCCAGCCTGGAAGGAGTTGCCCTTATTGCCATTTATAAAGCTGCAGGCAGGCGGGCCAGTATCAGTAACAACACCTCAGCCCTGGGGTATGCTGCTATGTATAAGCTGTGACTGTAAACTGTACAGTCTGTAATACTCGGCTGCTTATTCCAGCACTTTGCTTAAAGGACCTGCATGGCGCCAACACAGGAATAACGAAGGCACTGTTGACCATTTACACTCCTTTGTTGGACTCGGTTTTCATGTGCGAAATAGTTGTGTGTGTATGCATGTGTACATGTGTGTGCGTGTGTGCGCAGATGGAACAGTTTGTTGTCCTGCTGTCCAGTGATGCAATGTTAATATATGTGATTCCAGCTGCAGTGAACTGTCAGGGCCTTCAAGGTATTTAGAGGAAGCCCTGACCAGACCTAAGAAACAAAATCAGTATATAACAGTATAATCTGAGCTTCTTAATATTTTTTGTCTTAGTGCACTGTGTTGAAATAATAATAATTATTTTTGGGGAAGGGGTGGGGAGGGGGACTGTGCCACAAGATGTTGCTGTTTGGGACTGAATTAGAAATGCTATGAAAAACTTAGATGGTAAAGTAAAACTATATGAAAACATTAAAACACAGGAAGTAATTAAAGGACAAAGACTATTATAAAACATCTAAACTATTTTAAAAATCTGGAAGGAAGCAAAGCAAATTTAATAATTTAAGTTAATGATTCTAAACAAACAACAAAATTTAGTAAAATAATTTATTTCTGGCTGGTTTTGCTTGTTGCCTCTTTCGCTGAACCTGGTTAGTCCTACTTTCCTTCACCGATCGTTGGACTGAACTCTGTGAGCTGACCAACAACTGTGCACCCCACCTTTCATTGCATAAGCAACGTGTTTGACATTAGACCATTAACCCTGACCTCGCTGCTTGACCTCTTGTCATCAGATCTGCCACTCTTCTCTGAGAACAACAAAGGTCAAATGATCAAGCCTACTTGGAAATGACGAGCACGCGAGTGTGCTTCTGTGTTTCTTAAATCTGTGTACATGTTCATCCTGATCTGTTTTCTTTCATTTTTCCAAGAAATTTATCCTGCAACATCACCTGGGGCAACAACAGTAGTGTTTATGAAACACTTTTATGGCAGCTTAGACACTGAGAACCAGAAATAGAAACTCTAGAGTGTAACGATCCAAGTAAACAAAGCGTACAATTATTTCTCTCATTTTGTGCGGTGAATTTAAAGCACCAAACCTAAAAATACTATGATGTAGTTTATTGTCCTACACCTTTAATAAGCAGATTTTTAAAACCGATCAATGACAAACGAGTAAGTATTCCATTTCTTTCTAGATGAATATTTTTAAATGACTTCCTATAAGATGCATTTTAATGGGAAGTTATAAAATATCTTTGTGGTTTTTGTACCTCACTTGACTTTATAATACATAATTAATCTTAAGCGGGGTTTAACATAAACCAGACAAAAATGTGATAAATTGGAGTGTAAATTTTTCATATATGTACACTGTTACAGAAATTTGTTTTGATACCTTCACACAAATTATGACTCCTGCCCACATCAAACCTGCCTCAACCTGCTTAGTACCCACCTCGGCAGCTGCCCCCATATTTATGATTTCATCTACTAGAGAACATTTTGGTCCAGTTTAGTAATTATCTGTCACTGGTGGGGTTTTTAGAACTGAATATTCGGTGCTGATGTGTTCTGCAAGAGTGGCGCTCCCTTGAGATGTATTTGAGATGCTGAAGTTATGTCACACATATGAGAGTAACTTTACGTGAATCATTTGTAGCCACTAATGTTTTTTTTTAAATTCCACACAAGTTTAACTAAACAACGAGCTACCATTAGCTTACCATTCTCTATTGTCCTGCTCTCCCATCTTAAACATCATACTTCTGGATGGTCCAGTACTGTACGCCTTCGGTACTTTTCCTTTGAGTTTGATAGTCCATTATTGTTGTGTTGCAAATAAAAGAAAGTAAGATTCGTATGTTTTTAATATTATGATCCTGCCCTCATCGAGGTGACACTCTGCTCAGTGCAAACACAACCAGGGCCGGGGTAGAGAAAGGCCAGGCAGGCTGAAGCCGGGGTGGGCCAAGTCAACGCAAAAACACTTTTTAGCCAACTATTGACAACTCAGTGCTATACTACCTCGACGATGACACCACAACTTTAGTATCTTGTTAGACCACTTTCAGCTTTGACTACAAGACACAAAGGCTGTGGTTCTGGCTTGATGAATTTACATAATCACAGGCATTTTCGTCTGAAATTACCGTGTTTAATAACCAAGATTCTTGGACTGATAATTGGTGAGTCAGGCTGTTGTGTAAAGAATTTTCCTGCACATAACTCGGATTCTGAGTAAAGTTGAGGTCAAGTCACTGACAGCAAATTGATGTGTGGAATTTCCACCTGCAGTCCAATGAGTTTTACTTTTTTACCTATGCACAATTGTCAAAATATTAGGACTGATCAGTGCATATGAAAGCATAATACATTGTCTCTAATAAAGAAATATATATTTGATTTTTAAAAACTTGCAAACAACTGTGTCCTGTTTTAAAACTTTAGACAGAGCGGTGCTACATCTTTGTTATGAGACTAAATATGAAGTAACAACTAGATGCTTAAGTGAAGTGAGCATTAAAAACAGAATAATGTGTGAAAATGCAAAGTAGCTGTTTGACTTTCAGCTGCTCTTGAGTGTGGACAGGTTAGGTGCATATTTCAGAATGGGACCAGTCCACATCAGGTTACAGAGTGCACACGGCCTTATGAGAGCCACACTCAGTAAAAACACTTGGCTGTGAGATAGCTGTCAGCAAGGTCAAAGGTCATCAGTCAGTATGTAGAGTAGTAATGATGACTGACAGACGTCCAGTGGCTCAGCAATGTTTTTTTTCTTTCATCTTGAGTTTGTGTTAGACGTGTCAGCGCTAGGATTAATTTTCTTCATGTAAACAGAGTCAGGTGCCCATATGTACACAAACACACACTTAGACAAGCACAAAGGCTTGGTTCAGTGGATGAACAGTAGTGTGAACGAGCATCAGGTGTGTGTAAACACAGCCTCATCTGTTTGCCATATGGACAGACCTTCCGTGACGTAGACACTTGTCTCAGGCGAAGAAAAGGTGGAAGAGGAACTGTCTTGGTAATGTTTTGTATTTTCCTTGAGAACATTTAAAAAAGGCTAAATGGATAGATCAAGCAAGCTGCTGTCGAACTTTGTCAACAAAGCTTGGACTTTTCTATGAAAACCGAAGGGATGATGTTACGGCATGTGCTGCATGACAGCACGACCCATGATCGATCAGAGGTGAGTGTGCGTGGGCCGTTTTAGGGCATGTGCTGCATATGTGACTCCAGTTCCTCATCTTATTTTCATTTCAGTTTCATATCCTCATTTAATCTACAGACAGTAGTGACAGTCACTCTCTGTTTTGTTTTCTGTGTGAGAAGGGGGCTTCAGTTGCATCTCTGAACTGCGCCCTTTAGCTGCCCAGCTGTTGATGTTCGGACATATTTTTTTGTTTATGTGACCCGCAGGCATCGTTCGTGGTTTGCGAAAGTTGTTAGGTGAATTTTTTAAAAACTTTTAGAGGCCTACAGTACACTTCACTTGAACATTTTGGTTTCTTACTAATATATTTATCAGTTACTTCTGCTAAAGTTCAAAAGAACATTTTAAAGAACATGTTAATTCAAAACAACACCTGTAGTATCAATAATATATAATTATTATGGATTAGTCTTATTTGGTTTTCCTCAGCCAAATATAAAAGAAAAATAATTATTAAAAAGATTAATTTTTTTCTTATTAAAACCCAGTTCAGTTGTGTAGCTCAAACTGGTGTTTTATCATGTGCAATTAATCATCAGAAAAACAGTCAACAATTAATATTTGCCACTTTGCAATTACTACAGTTAGTGCCATGTGATGACATATGTGTGACACACTCAGGCACATGTAAGCCCAGAGAAACTAATTTTAACCATAACCCTGCAAACGTATTTAATCACCTAAAATACAGACACTGGAGTACGAGGAAAGCCAGAAAAGGCAAACCAAGGCCACACTGGCTAAATGCAAGTGCAATTGTCATCTAATAATCATCGTATTGTTATCCGCTAAAAGCT